TGATAGCCTAGACTCCACCCCTACACTCTTAATCCTTAAATTGACACCAGGTGAGGTGACTACCACACATGGTAGAGGTAAAATGTGGGAATCACTTGTGGTCTTCTTTCTACCTGCTGGCAGACAGGTTGGGAACTGGCAGAATCCAAGATTACCACCATGCTCTTATTTCATGGGCGCCTCAGCCAGGTTATCATCCCTTCTTGAGCATGCTGCGGGGTCTGTGTGAGTCAGGAAGGCTCCTCATTGCTCTCTTACAGCCACTCCAACCAAGCTGAGGGCAGAGGCCAGCACCACTGCACTGCCGAGATCCACCACCCTGCCCCAAGAGTTACCGGGGCCAGCGCTCAGCCAGGCAGCCACCATGCCGGTAGGTGTGCATCCACACTTCTCCCTCAGCCCGACCACGGCCCAGGGCCGCAGTTCTGCATCTGCCTGGGGGATCAATTTGCCTTAAAACCTAGACATACAAGACAGTAACTAGATTAGTAATTTCTTAGGGTTCTAGCAATGGAGGTTGGAGAGGAATGGGGAGCCAATAATAATGGGTACACTGATGAAAAAATGGTCTAAAATCACTCTGTGGGGATGATTGAACAACTCATTATGATCTATTTAAATCATTGAATTATATAGTTTGTGAATTGTAGTATGAAACTATTCAAAATTAAAATAATAAAGTACTAATTGAAAAAAAAGGTTGGAGCAGCGGAGCAGAAAGGAGAAGCAATTTAGTTGGTGAGTAATTTCAAAATATTTTTATGTCAAGAATAACATTCATGCAATGCAAAATTAAGATGAATTTTAACGGTAAAACTCAGTTTCAAACCCAGGGCCGCACCTGCAGGACCTCTGGGTACGTGATTAGGTCTGCCTCGTTAGAGGTGGTACTCCGGTGACAGCATTTGAGATGCTTGATATTGACAGAAAATGCCCCTCTCTACGCCAGGGGTCGCCGTGAGTCAGAACTGACCTGAGAGCAGCCGGTCTGTTTTCTCTCGGTATATCGGGTAGTGTCTCTGAAAGGAGCCCTGGGGTGAACAGTGGGGGATTCAACCCCCCAGCAGCTCCATGGGCCAGGCTGGCCATCTGCTCCACAAAGGTCCAAACTAGGACGCCCTGTGCGTCAGGTCCTCTCTGCCACGTGGGTCACCGTGTACCAGAATGGACTCCACGGCCCACAGGCCCAGCATCGTCCCTGGGCTGTGCCAGGGCCAACCCCTGAGACAGCACATCATCTGGGCGGTCACTCACTCACAGCCATCAAGTCGATCCCAGCTCCCAGCCACCCCGGGGCACAGGATAGAACGGCTCCTGTGGGTTTCCAAGGCTGTAAATCTTGACAGGAGTAGAAAGCCTTAACTTCCTCCCAAGGAGCGGCTGGTGAGTTCGAACCCCTGACATTGTAGTTAGCCACCCAACTTATCATCCGCAGCACCAGCTGGGCTTCAGGTCCGAAGTCCCAGATGCATGGCTCTTCCAGGAATCCGTTGCTGGGTCACAAATCCCACCAAACACACTGGCATAGAAAATCATTTTTCATGTTCGTGGATTTGTTTTGCCCGCATCTGACATTCAGCGCTCACTCAAGGGCAGACGTGCCTCCCTCTTTAGGCCAGATAAACTGACCCCTGAGAGACGGTGCTCATATCTGTCATCTCCTGGAAGCAGTGTTCATCCACAACGCCCTTTCTCTCTCTGCCCCAGGCCCCTCTGCTCACCCAGTCGTCCTGCGACCTAGCCCAGCAGCTGCTGCCTCAGACCATGCTGCAGAGTGTGCCTGCTCCCATGGCACAGGTGAGTCGGGGAA